CACGCAGCATCCACGCTGTGAGGTGGAGAGATCGCAGGTCAGGATGGCAGAGGCGACCGGGACCCGGAGTAATCAGGCTGGGAAGAGGCGGCAATGGGACTGGAGCGTCCACAGAGAGCTCCAACAGCACAGTGTACCAATGCTGTCTGGGCCACGCTGGAGCCAGCAGAATCACTCACACCCTGTCCCTGTGCACTTTGAGCAGGACCCTGTGCACAAGGGGGAATAGGGGAAAGGCGTAAAATAGTCGACTCGTCCACAGGAGTAGTCTGTGAGAGAGCCCGGGTCGCAGCCTTGGAAGGAGCAGAACACCAAGCATTTCCGATTGCTGCGGGAGGGAAACGGGTGGACCTGGGGAAACCCCCACCTTCAGAAGATGGGGTGGATGACATCTGGTTGAAGCGATCACAGGTGGGAGCAGAAGGACCAGCTCAGGTGGTCTGCCAGCATGTTCTAGATCCTGGGTAGAAAGGACACCACCAGGTGAATGGAGTGGGCTATGCAGAATTCCCACAGTCAAATGGCCTCCTGACAGAGGGGGAAGGAACGGGTCCCCCCTTGCTTGTTGATGTAGAACGTGGCCATGGTGTTATCTGTGTTAACTGCCACACAACACCCCTGCAGCTGCTCCTGGAAAGCTTGACAGGCAAGGCGTACCACCATCAGTTCCCGGATGTTGATATGAAGGGAGAGCGCAGACAGAGGCCATAGGCCCTGCATCTGAATGTCCCCAACATGGGCGCCCCTTCCCAAGGCTGACACATCTGTGACCAGGGACAAGGAAGGTTGTGGGCTGTGAAAGCAGACTCCTTTGCATACCACCTGGAGATCTAGCCACCAGCGGAGGGAAGCCAGTACCCGCTCCGGGACAGTGACCACCAAGCTCAGGCTGTCGACCTGGGCGATAGACTGATGCTAGCCAGGCTTGTAACAGGCGGAGTCGAAATCTGGCGTGCCTGGTCACGTATGTGCAGGAAGCCATGTGGCCAAGAAGACTCGGGCAACTTCTTGCCAACGAGGTTGGGAAGCTCTGAAGGCTCCGGACGAGGAAATGGGATACTCTCTCCAGTTTTATTCCTCTATTCCTTTATTTCCACTATAGCCTGGAAACAAGCATCTGGCAGGAGGGCTCACGCCTGCATGGAGTCCAGAACCACCCCGATGAATTCTGTTCTCTGGGTCAGTTCCAGGGTCGACTTCGCCATGTTGAGAAGGCCCAACCAAAGAAACGAGCCCATGACCAAGCAGAGATGGGACTGAACCTGTTCTCTGGCGTGTCCCCGGATAAACCAGTTGTCGAGGTAAGGGTATACCTGCACCCACCATTGACGAAGGAAGGCCACCACGACCAACATACATACATTTGGTGAACAGTCAGGGGGCCGTGGAGAGACCAAAGGGGAGGGCCATGAACTGATAGCGTTCGCAGTTGACCGCAAAGCGGAGGAAGTGTCTGTGCGCCGGATGAATCGCTACGTGGAAATAAGAGTCCTTCATGTCGAGGGCGGCGTACCAGTCTCCAGGATCCAGGGAAGGTATAATGGTGCCCAAGGAGACCATGTGGACCTTCAACTTTACCATGAACTTGTTGAGTCCGCGCAGGTCCAGAATGGGCCGAAGCCCCCCATTTGCCTTGGGGATTAGGAAGTATCAGGAGTAAAACCCCCTGCCTCTTAGCTCCCTCCGGACCTCCTCGATCGCCTCCATGGCGAGGAGCATCTGCACCTCCTGAATAAGGAGCTGCTCGTGAGAAGGGTCCCTGAAGAGGGATGGGGAAGGAGGGCTGGGAGGAATAAAACTGGAGAGAGTATCCCATTTCCATCATGCGGAGGACCCAGCGGTCCATGCTTATCTGAGACCAAGTACAGTGGAAATGGGATAAACAATTCAAGAAAGGTGGGGTAGGATCCTGAATGAGGTCCGGTACATCATCCTCAGGCATCCCTTCAAAAAGCCTGTTTTGAGCCCAAAGAAGGCTTGGACAGGCCCTGGCCTTGCCCAGATGGGGGGTTGGAGGGCTTCCTCCTGCCATTACATCCCCACCTCCTACAGAAGTCCTGCCTTGGCCAAGGAGGAGGATAGGAAGGTTGTTGTGGCTGCTGGGGTTTGAAGGGTTTCCTCTGGGTAGCCAGTGTGTGCATGCCCAGGGACTTCATTGTCGCCCTTGAATCCTTAAGGCTATAGAGCCTTGAGTCGGTCTTTTCCGAGAACAGGCCCTCTCCATCAAAAGGGAGGTCCCGCAGTGTTTGCTGAAGCTCCGGTGGCAGGCTGGAGGCTTCCAGCCAGGAGATCTGCCTCATCTGAATCCCTGAGGACAAAAAGTACATGCAGCGGAGGCCTGCAGCGAGGTCCATGCCACTGTTTTGCCCTCATCCACCAAAGCCCTAAATTCCTCTCTGGACTCAGGAGATACTAACTCCTTAAACTTCAGCATGGAGTTCCAGGTGTTAAAATTGCAATGACTCAGGAGTGCCTGCTGATTAGCGATTCTGAGCAGAAGTGCCCCCAAAGAATAAACTTTGCGCCCAAACAAATCAGGGCCCTTGGCGTCCTTTGATTTGGGCACTGGGGCCTGCTGGCCATGCTGTTCTTTAAAATGGATGTAAAGGGAATTCTTTACTGGGACAGATACACAGACCCTATGGAACTCTCTAGCTTCCTGACAAACACAGCCTTGTGCTACCCAGTGCCGCCATGCAGGGCTGTCCTAAATCCTGGCCTGGCCTCCGCACTCCTGAAAGGCACTGCTGACTACTCCACATGGCTGATACACTTGGTTAACTGGAGTCTGTTCCCACCTGACCCCTAGCATTAACACCACTTTACCCTGACTCTGAAACTCTCCCGACATCTGGCTCCATTTTCCAAGCCCAGCTACAGTATCTGACCCCAATGTCCCAAGCCTGTGAATCCTGCCGGCTGACTGCATGCCATACAGCTGTGCTCTCCAACCAGATCCCACCTCTCTTCCACTGTGCCCTTCATTCACAGCCTTAAAAACCATCTCCAGAGATTCCCTGTCAGCCCTTGTCAGATTAAACCACCCTGGGTCTCTCATCACAGCACAAACCAGCTCACATGGCCAGCCTTTACTCACAAGAGGATTTCCACTGACATGACTGAGACTGCTCCCAGGAGCAAGAGGAGCATATAGCCCTGAAGCCAGGCATTTATACTGCACTCCTCCAAGTGGTGCCAAGTCTAGATAAGAGCCCTGCCTGTCTCTAGCCATCTATGCTGCTCGCTCCTTGCAGTGGAATCGCTTTAATTCAAGATTAGGTTTGTAAAGCCAAGGGCAAGAGTTCCAAGGAGTCCCCCTAGCCGGTCAATTCAATTCCCCACTTTCATCCAATCAATAATCAACAACAAATGTACTTGGCACTCAGCCCTGCCAGATCCTCTCCTCCCCCATGTAGCTCCACTCAGGGCAGCTGTTGCCATGGGCAGTGCATGAACCGCTGGCTGGGGGAGGCTAGCCCTCAGCCCCACCCCTTCCACACCCCCCTGCTGGAGACCAGAGCCCCCCCTACCCCACAGCCGCCGGCCCCAGGCTAGCCCCCTCAGCCCTGGAGCGCCGGGAGGCCACTGCACAGGGGGACTGGAGCTGCCGCCTTCACATGCAGAGCGGGAAGTGGGGGGGGAGGGGGGAAGAGGGCCAGGCCTAGGGGCAGAGCTGGGCAGGGCCATGTCTGGCTGTTTGGGGAGGCACAGCCTCCCCCAGTCTATGGTATCCACCACCCATGGCGGTTGCTTTCCCTGCTGCTATAAATAACCTTAAATAGCTGGAGTTTTACAGCATCTTTCAGATGAACTGACTTCCTGACCACCCAGAGATGCAGGAGCAGAGAGAAAAGGAGGCGAGATGGCAAGATGGGCACTGCTTTTTTTTAGGGGGGAGGAGGGGGGTAGCAACTGTGGCTGGCTCTCTCCATCCCCCACATGGCTCCTGTGGAGGGATTTTTACTGACTGCCAATGATTCACAGAGAAGCCTTGGGTATATGCAGCCTGACTCAGCCACAGCCAGGCCTCTCCCTCCCACTCTTTCAAATCTAGAGCAAAGGCCAGGGGTCCCAAGAATCCCCCCCTAATTAGCAGCCCCCCGCTTGCCAACTTGAGGCCGTTCCCTGCTGGACTGTTATCAATGCAATATTCGACCTCTCCTGGAAGCCTGGGCAAGTGACTGGCTTGGAGGAAGTCAACAATGCTTGACCCTCGGGTTCTTAGCCAGGGGAGGTCATGATCCCCAGGACGGGTTGCAGCCGCCCTCCCTCTCTTCAGAGCTAGATGGGATGGGGATCATCTAGGATCATAGCATGGAAAAGCCATGGCCTCCCCCAAGACTGGCCAACGGGGGGAGCAGCCCCCCAGCATCTTCTTTCTAATCCCCTACCCCATCCCAAACTCCACTCTCCCAGAAGCAGAAACCCTAAATCCAGGTCCCTGTGCATGCTCCATAGAGGAGCCAGCTAACCTTAGCCAATCTTTCCCGGGGTTTGGAGGAGCAGTTTCCCTTTAATTGTGGGGAGGGGCTGGGGGGAACCACAAAAGTTTGAGAGTTTGGGGGGATGTGATGCACTGGTGCCCCCTGCTGTTAACAACTCATATAGCTGGCTAACAAGGCCCTCTCCCAGCCAAGCTGCAGAGAACCCATATGGCCCAGAAAACCACCTTCCCACGCCCATTACTGGGCGATAGCTCTGAACAGTAACACACACAGGTCTCTCCCTGTGCCAGGAAATCAGGGAAAGAATCCATATACAAAGTGGCCCCATCGCCAGTAATGTTACAGGCTCGGATGGAGAGGAGGGGCTGGGGGGGCCGGCAGCACAGGTCTGCACTGATCATTCCATGCAGCTGCCCAGTCCCACAGGCTGTCATTGCACAATTGCTCCTCTGTGCCCCCTTGTGCCCCAGCAACACTCTAAAGCCAGGGTTCACGGTCCTTCTCACAAATCACTTGGCAGTTTCTTGTTCCATCCTCCCTTCTCCCAATATTCACCTTGTACCTGTGCGTTCAGCTTCTCCAAATCCTCCTCAGTCATGTGAGAGAATCTGCAGTTGAACCCAAAGTCACACTGCCCTGGAACAAGACCCAAATGCAGGCAGTTAGAGCAGGGCTCACTCCAAATAGCATAGGAACAGGCAACGTCTCCCCCATGCATCTGCACAAACAGCCTCCAGCCTTCCCTTTTTTACTCCTGGGGGAATTCTGCACCACTGCGCATGCGCAGAATTAATGTCCCCCACTGATTTCTTTGCTTCTCCGCAGAAAACTGACTTTCTGACAGGGAAGCAAAGGGAAGCCACAAGAGTGGTCATGCAACGCGCCCGAACAGTATGCTTTGGGTGCCCAGCGCAGCCGGCAGAGAGGTAAATCACTGTGGGGCAGGGAGCGGGACTGGGGAAGACCCTGCTGGTGGCTCCTACCCTGCACCAGACTCAGCTGCTCGTCTGGATGGCCTGGGGAGGATGGGACCTCCTCTTCCCCTACACAGCATCCCAGGTCTGAGTCAGACCCATCCCCAGATTTCTCTCCAGGCTGCAGGAAGGTCTGCAAACTCCCCCCCCACCCTGGGCCCACTGTTCCTCAGCTGCAGGGGAAGGGATCATTGTACGGGGAGCTGCTCCTCCAGCTGCCAAACCCTCATGCATCCAGACCCCCTCATACCCAGACCTTTCTGCCGAGCCTCACCCCATCCAGAACCCCCCTGCCGAGCCCCACTCCCTCTGCACTTGGGCCATCCCAACGAGTCACCCGGATCTCCACCCCACTTATCCCCAACCAGCTGCACCTGGATCCCCAACCTCACTGAGCCCCAGATCCCTAGCATCTGGACCCCCCACCACGCCCAGATGGCACTGCTGAGCTCTAGCCCCGCCCCCGCTAAGCTCTAACCACCTTCACCTGGACCCTCTTGCAGAGTCCCATTACCATTACACCCAGAACCCCCCAACAAACCCCTGAGCATCCAGATCCCCTCTGCATCTGGATCCCGCACTGAGCTGTCCACATCCAGATTGCCCTACACAGAACCCTCTCAACCCACACCTGGATCCCCCCACACTAATCCCCTCCACACTTGGATCCTGGCCTTGCTGAGCCTGCCTGCCTGCACCTGGCACAGAGGAGCAGGGGCCCTGGGATGTTTCTGGGGCCGGCCTGGTCCTTTCACTGGGTCAGGGTTGGGTGTAGCCTCATGGCTGAGTCTGCGTCCTGGGGGGAGCTGCAGAGTGATCTCCCAGCTCGGTGCAGCCAGTGGCCTGTGCTCCCCAATGCCATGCTGGAGCCGCCACACTTATTTGACAAATAAAATTTGCAGAATTTTAAAATACTGTGCACAGAATTTTTATTTTTTTGCCACAGAATGCCGTCAGGAGTAAAACTTTTTACATGCGTGTGCACATGGGGGTCCACACAGGCACACCCCGCAGCTCCATGCCATACTCTGTTAGGCTCAACTTCCCGGCCAACCTAGAGCAGCACTGACCTGGCTAGCAGAGAGATTTTTTGAGCTAGCACACCCTAGTTATCACTGTATGGAAAGACACCATGCAAAAACGTAACCTGTTTGCAGAAACTTCCTGCAGGGCTTCTTGCTCTGCTCCTCCAGCAAGACAGCAGCAGCATCTGTGGAAGGAAAGGAATGAGAGAGATGGGAATGAGCAGAGCCATCTCACCCGAAAACCATGCACATCAACCACCTGGTGAAAGGTCATCTTGCATAAGGGCCTGCAGCCCACCAGAATCACACGCACGTCAGCTGCCCAGTGAGCAGCCCTTTCACAGTGAGCAACAGCCATGGAAAGCTCATTATAAGACAACTGATGACTAACACATTCCTTGTCTGCAGGCTCCTCCCTTGCATCTCACTGGCTTTGGAAGATCTTGTTTTCTTTCTGCTACATGCTTCCTCCCCAGCTACACAGCAGAAAATCAAGCATGAGGCCAGAGCAAAGATAGTCTGTAAAGCTCATGGGACAGAGACAGACTCTGGTTCAAACTGGTGCGCAGCAGTTCTAGAAGCTGGGCCCCCAGCACTTCATGCTGGGCATCCAGGGGACACCACGGGAAAAGTGGCCCTTAATGACTATTGAGATTGTGCCAAAAGAAACCCCTAGCAGTGAATGAGCCCGGAGAGCCAAGCTGAGCCCTGGTCGAGGCAACTCCCTCAGATTTTAACGTAAACTGTAGCTACTAATGCCCGGGCTATATTCAGTCTGGAGACAGGAGTCCTTGATAGCCAAAAGGAAGGTGACCCCTGTAAATCAGGATTGGGCTGGGTCACTGGGACAGCAGCATGAGATAGGGCTGGGAACGAACAAAGCGGTAAGGCTATTTGGTAGCTTGCCCTGGCAGGACCCCGGTGGACCTTCCAAGCTCAGCAATAGTCATCTAAACTTCCACAACCCAAGCCGAACTAGGCAAACTTCCTGCCCAGCCCAAGCCCATCAGCGCCATGCTGTGCCTGACCCAGCAACAAGGGTGATTTATCCGACTGAGGCAGTCTCTAACTCCTGGCCCATGGGAGCCCCAGCAAAGGCCGTGTGATTTCCCCAAGACACAAGGGCATCTCTGGGGCTGCAGCTGCATCTTCCACCACAACTACACACCCGCGTCTGCCACTTCTGTCCAAACCCTCAGTGCCACCCTCCCGCATGGCCACGGAACCCCCATACACACAAATCAGCACCTTTTCTCCCCATCACACATCCCTGCCTCCCCCAGCTCCCAATTCAGTTCACAGTAGCCCTCTAGGGTTTCACAAACCACCTAACTCCAGCACTCTCTCTCTACACCCCTCATCCAGCACATGCCTCCTCTCTCAGCCTCGCCACTGTTGGTGCAAGAGCCCTCCCCTTTGCACTTCTACCATCTGGAGAAGACTTCCTGGTTCTTTCCATCTCATTTCAAATCTCACCGGACACCCAGGATTCTTCCCAGTGTGATACTGCTGCCTCAGAAATAATTTGCCAGTCATACCACCAAGTCTGGGAGGCGTCCTGTGACACACTGGCATGAATGATGCTGGATACAGATTACTGATGCTGATCCAGCCTCATTTACTGACTACCTCCCATGACCACCCTCCTGAGAGAAGGTTCAACTCGGCTGGCAGGACCCACCTCGGAACAGGTCATACCAGGCCTTCTTGGCCCTCAGGTGCTGTACCCCGTTCAGGTGCTTCTTCCTGTTGTGCAGATTGTCTTGAAAGGATCGGTCGCAGTAGTCACAGAAATACCTCTTCCCCATTTATCCTCCACTGGGTGGAGCAGGGTCAGTGCTGCCTGGAAAACAGCATCAGATAGATGTCAGTGCTGTGCAGTGTTCATTCCCAGGGAAACCCTTACAGCTACTGCTCCCAAAGGACAAGGATGTGTACCCGCTGGAGGTGTACACTTGAGAGGGACAGAGAGGAAGGGGTGAGACAGGCTAATTTAAACTAATGCATGCAAGACATGGCAGCTCTGAGTCTAGTGGCCTAATGGACAATGCTCAGCACTGCTGCATGGGAGGCTCCCTTCCATGGTGTCTTGCTCCCTAAGCAGTGGGAGGCTGGCTAAACACACCTCCTTCCCATGGCTGTAACCAGGGCAGGGTGAGCGGGGCAACTGCCAAGGTGCAAATCTGCAGGGGCAGAAAAATAATGAAAAAAAAAACGAGCAGGGGGAGCAAACATGCTTGCTCACACCGGGCACTGAACTGCCTCCTCACAGCACTGCTCCTACCCTTAGGATTCTCTGCTGTGAGGAGTCCAGATCGTCCAAGCAGCAATGCCAGAGAACCCCCACAAGCTGCCCAGCAGCCCCGGTGTGGTGAAGCGGTTACCCCTGGGGAGCTGGAATGATCCCAGGAATTAGCCCGTGCTGGCACTGCCTAGTCCAGTGCTGATCTAGCTAGAGTTTAATGCTGCCTTACAACATGCAGGATTAGTCTCTCCCCATCCTTTTCTCCTCCTTCCAGACCACAAATTTATCCCCCCAAATGATTTCATTCCTAGACCTTCAGAAGTTGAAGCAAGAGGGATTCTCCCTTCCACTGCACCTCCTGTGCAGTTGTCCTGGAAGCAAGTAAGGATCATATAAAACCCCTAGCCTGCTGGGAGAGAATTTCCCTGGCACAGACACTGCACTGAACTACCATATATAACCTGATGCTGCCCAGCCCCTCTCCCTCACATGCCCTGGCACGGGGGAAAGGCTGGTGGAGGGCAGGGGCATGTCAAATGAGTCTCCGTAGCACTGAACACTACAGGGATGTTATGCTATGATCCATTGGCAAGATCTAAAAATTATAACAGGAACTGATTGCTCTAATTTATGCTGGGGCCACATCAGCCCCCAGAGCAGGCCAAAATTCTGATGGTGCAAAGATGGCTTACACTACCTGTACCCCATCTCCCGCTGCACTGTGCCTGCTGGAAGCGCAGTACAGAATCTCAACCAGAAGCAGCTGTACACTCCCCCTCTCTTGGAACATGATGGACACCTTACAAATGCCTAAAATGGACAGATCGGTAGATAGACTCTGAAAATGCCTACACAGCTTCAGAAACGTTGATGACCAAGTCTCTGAAAAGCGTGGCACAGAAATTAGCACAAGAAATAAAGACTTAAAAACAAAAGATGGCCAGGACCAGAGCCCCCAGAAGGTTTTCCAGAGTCAGCAGGAACAATGCCATCAACAGGTGATCCCTTTGAGGGAAGGCCGGGCATTGGCGCTAGAACAGGTCCTGCCAAGCCTTCATGTCTGCCAGCCACAGGGGCACCTCAAGGGCAAAACAAATCACTGCTACAAAGTCAATCTATCGGCCTCTCAGAGCCTGAGAAAGGAACCCTGTCTGTTTCATTCACTTCCAGTGAAAGATTCTTCAATGCCTGTGCCAGCCACTGCACAGATACAAGGGACTGGAGGAATCACACACTAATAAACCCCTACCTCGAGGCAAGAGGATCAGACGCACTGAATATAAATGCCTCTTTGTGGATCACCCTTTGTTCTTTAGGTACATGATGGATGGTAAAATACAAGGATAAGAATAAGCCAGATGGGGTTGGTCTGTGTCTCTCCCTCTCAGGTTCTGATTACCCTACTGGGAAACCAACTATTCTATCTAGAATGATGGCTAAGTCTAGCTCTTGCTAGTAAAGTGCTACCATGGCTTGGATGGCCATGAGTTGCAACCCTGGTGAGCTCTTAAGCTCTGCAAGGGTGAAGCCTGAAGCTCTGCTCTGCAGTCTTGGAAGACACAACCCATCTTCAGTTAATCCCCGTTTACCTACCATTTGTCACCCTCCTCTACCTAACGCAATACAAACTTTTGTAGCCAACTGTGGAATCTGGCACTAGGCATATCTCAGCAGCCAGACAGCTTCTGGGATCTGTAGGGGAAAGTTCTTACAGTTTTCCACCACATAAAGGGTCACTCAAGGATTTTATTGTTGTTTTTAAGTTTCTGTGTTCAGAACTGGAACTCCTCCAATAAAACGTATTCCAAGCAACTTCACCCTCCTTGTGCAATCACTGAAGTAAATGGCAGAACTTCCAGTGATTTAAAGTAGACGCAGCACCAGGCCGCAAAATTAATGTTTTTCTTGGGCCTTCTACCAGAAGTCTCTGCTCTCGAACGATAACGACTCTTACTTTCACGTGTGATCGATAAAAAAATAGCTGCGTACGTGTGCACAACCCCCCCCCCCCCCCCAATATATGAAATCTAACACGCCTCCCCTGTGGTCCCTTCTAACCCTAGGCGTCTATTTCCAGAAGCCAATGTTCTTTCCTCAGGGATTTCTCTCAGCTCTGCTCATCACCCATTGCAATCCAGTGTCATGATTTGTGGTGCTGTTTCATGTGGAATTCAAGACTCTTTCTATCGGTATGACGATCACCAAGAATGCCTGTTGTGTTGTGTAAAACACAATATGCAGATGGTCTATATAAACTTGTGCTGAAAATGTCAGTATTACTGATCTTGGGCGCAATCTGGGCTGCCCAATTCAAGACAGCTTGGCCCTGTCAGAGATGCTGTACACACTTACAGCTTCCATCGACATCCAGTTGCAGTTGTGGGCACCCAACACTTCCAAAATAGCCTCAAGCCCCCACTGTCGCAAGCCGAGCCCTACACACTGAAGCCGCTAAACCCAGAGGCTGTTCTTTGTTTGGCTGCAGGTTTCATTACTCCTCCCCACGTAAGACGTACTTTAGGTCCTGCTAACATTATAAAGACCCGTTTTGTGTTAAACGTATTCAAATCCCCAGCATGTCCACCTTCCCTCTGTGCGGTCACTGGGCCTGACCCACCGCTACTCGCACAGCCCTTCATGCCAGCCCGGCGCGGGGCCGAGAGAGCCCCAGCCGGATGCGCGCCATCGTGCGCTGGCCTTGCCGGGGGATCGGGCCCGCCCGCCGGGGGAGGGGGCCCGCCCGCCGGGGGAGGGGGCCCGCCCGCCGGGGGAGGGGGCGCAGAGCTCGAGGGGGGGCCCACCTGGGGGGGCGGCCGGCCTGCTGGGGGGGGGGCGGTCCAGAGCTCGAGGGGGGGCCCATCTGGGGGGGGCGGCCCAGAGCTCGAGGGGGGGCCCATCTGGGGGGGGCGGCTCACCCTTGGGCCCCTGGGGGGGCGCAGAGCTCGAGGGGGGCCCACCGGGGGGGGCGGTCCAGAGCTCGAGGGGGGGGCCCATCTGGGGGGGCCTACTTGGAGGGTCACCTGGGGGCGCAGAGCTCGACGGGGCGGTAATGGTGCATCGGGCCCGCCCTCCGGGGGGGGTCACCTGGGGGCGCAGAGCTCGAGGGGGGCCCACCTGGGGGGGCGGCCTGCTGGGGGGGCCACCTGGGGGCGCAGAGCTCGAGGGGGCGTGGAGGGGACAGGCCTCCAGCCAGGCCGCCCTGCGATGGGCCAGGAGCCGCCGCCGCCGCCGCCGCCGCGCTCCCCGGGGCCTGCTGCCCTGACCCGCCCCCGGCCGCTCACCCGCACACGGACCCAGCCCGAGCCCCGGCACCGCCCTCGGCGCGCACCCGCGCGGCCTGCTGGGGCTTGTCGTTTTTTACCGCCACCAGCGAGCGTCGGGCGCCCGCCTTCGAGCGAAGGGACTACATCTCCCAGAGGTCTCATCGCTGAGGGAACTACGGCCAGAGGCGAGCGTGGCGCTGTGCAGGCCGGGAAATGCAGTCCGCGTCTGCCCCCGAGAGCGAGGCCGAGGTGGGTTCTCCCCCCGTGGAGCTGCGCGACGCCGCACTACAAGCCCCATGGTCCCCCGCGGCAGGCCGCCGAGCCCCACTATAACTTCCGGGCGGAGGCCGCGCCTGCGCTAGCCCGGGCGGAGGCAGAGGAGGAGGCCGCCATGCCGCTGCGCTCCCGGCTGTACAGCGTGTTCTTCCGCCGCACCTCCGCCTTCGCGCTCACCATCGCGCTGGGGGCCGTCGTCTTCGAGCGCGCCTTCGACCAGGGCGCCGACGCGTTCTACGAGCGCCTCAACCGCGGGGTGAGGGCGCGGGGCCGGGCCGGGCCGGGCGGGGCGGCCCAAGGTCAGGCCGGCCCGTGCGCTACGCGAGGCCCCGGCCGCCCGCATCCCCGGGCCGCGCCGCCGCCGCCTGCCCTGGGCCTGGCCGGTGTCGCTCTGCCCCGCCCCGGGGCGCGGGGGCTGCGCGGGGAGGCCGCGGCCCCGGGCTCGCTCCGGGCTCGCCCCCGTGGCCGCGCGGTCCCGCACGCTCGTGTCCCGGACTCCCCGGGTCTCCCCGGCTCAAAGCGGGGCCCGTCCCCGTCCCCGCCCCCGACCCCAGGGGCCCCCTCGGGGACCGAACTCCCAACCCTGGGTTTCGCGGGCCCGCGCTCGAACCCCCCCCCCCCCGGCTTCCCACGCCGCCTTGGCCCTAAGGGGAGACGGTCAGAGACATTGTAGCGTCGGGGGCGCAACACAAGGACTGAATTCCCCCTGCTTCCCGAATGCTCCGCTTTCGGTGGAGACAGGCGGCTGCACCTCGCAGGCAGCGTGGGTCAGGGGACGTGCTGCCAGTCTGCAGGGCTGTCCCAAGCCGTCTGCATTCGCCGCAGCAGGAGATGAGCGGCATCAAGTCAGTACTGGGAAAAGAAAAGGAGGACTTGTGGCACCTTAGAGAAACCTGCCATTATTGACAGGTTTCAGAGGAACAGCCGTGTTAGTCTGTATTCGCAAAAAGAAAAGGAGGACTTGTGGCACCTTAGAGACTAACCAATTTATTGGAGCATGAGCTTTCGTGAGCCACATCTGATGAAGTGAGCTGTGGCTCACGAAAGCTCATGCTCAAATAAATTGGTTAGTCTCTAAGGTGCCACAAGTCCTCCTTTTCTTTCTGCCATTATTGTAGTTAAGTTGCGTCTATGGACAGGAAAATCCTAATTAATGCTTGGATTCCATGGCAATAAGTGATACGCACATTACCTGATCCTCCAGTGATCTGTAACTGTCCCCTTAGCATACCAAGTTGTGATTTAAAAAAGTATGTATTTTAACTCTAAAAGCATCCAGAGTTTGTGCAAAATACAAAATTACAGCCAAATATAAAGTGTGTATGATTTGCACATTTCCTTGTTCCTTCCAGGAGTTTGGAGCCAGATGAAATTTCTGATATCCAACTGGAATCATGTATTTCTTTAGCTACTTTCTTAATTGAGCAATTCAGTTAATTGTTAGGGTATTTTTGTCATCTAGGGTTGTATGCTGACTTTTCCTCTTTTAAAGAGGCTATGATCCTGTCTAGGCCAGGCATTAGAAATGCTCTGATACTTTCTGCCCACAAACAGGAATCTTACAAGTATTTATTGTACCAGTTGGTTGTGATGGTTGGGCCAAAGACCTTGTTTTGGGTCCAGCTTGAATCTGTGTTGACTACAGTGGCTTTTCCTTAGTGTGAATGGGGAGCCAGAAGCTGCAATGCTTTGGTGTTTCTTAACCTGTAAGGCTACAGAGTAGGGCAGCAATAGGAACCTGCAAAGTTGTATGATCCTAGACTGCCTCCCTATAAAAATACACTTGAAAGCTACCTACATTCCCTTCCTGCTACTGAGTGGCTTACCTAACGCAGATCCTGAGTATGGGGCCCCAGGCTGAGGCATCCGTGCTCTGCTCCGGGCTCTTGTGGCACTCACCTGGGAAAATACATGTGGCAAAGAGGCATCAATAGATGCTTCTGCTCCAAGTATCATACTCTCCTCTGGTGACTGGGTACAGGAGGGCCATAGAACAAAAGAGCAAAGCAACTATAAAAATATTAAGCAAAATACAGAAAAGGGTGTGTGAATAGAAGGAAGAAATGGCAGCAAGTATGCTGGGACTTGAGAGGAAGGGGACCTGGTCTCATTCTGCCAGTCCACTGCAAGAGGCAGCTTCATGAACAGTGCAATTCTCCCTCTTGAAGTTACCCCAGAACTCTTGTTTCAAGTGTGTGCTGTGACTTGTGGAATAAGTGCTTTGGTATTCCTGGAGTGCTCTGGTCTGGCTAGGTAAGGCATTGTGTGGATGTGCCAAAGTGGTCACCCAAACAAATGCCACTAGGATATGCTGTCAAGGGCAAGACCCCAAATGGGACAGCAATTGCAGGAAACTTCAGTGTGTTCCTCACTGGTAGGCATTCCCTTTGGCTGAAAGTAAAAATTCAGCCCATCATCACTGGGACACATACATAAGACTTCTTGCTTCTGTTTTTTCAAATGCAGAAACTGTGGAAACACATCAAGCACAAGTATGAGACCCAAGAAAAATGAAGTGAGAGCTGCAGGAGCCGTGCAGGGGTGTCTGTATCCCCTTGTGCAAACTCTTCAGTTGCCCGATACCAGTTACCAAGAATGAAAATGGGCTTCTGACTGAAGAAATCAGCCGGAGTACATCACCAGCTTCATCTGTGGAAGAAACCTTGATGGACTTTAGGATTTACTCCTGTTGTGTTAAAACGTCCTGTTAAACTAATAAACTCACTAACCTATGCCTCTTGTGCTTACATGTTCAGTTAACTTCCCCTGTGCTCCATATGTAAATAAGGGTTTATTGTTAACTACAAGATGTAGGGCTCTAGATTAACGTGGCATATAAAGCCTTATTTCTGTGGCACTAGTATGGAAAATCATAAGTGGTTTGTTTTTAGTGTAAGCTAAAAAGTGGAAGCACATATACAGCTGAAGGCCTTTGTCAATATTTATTGCTTCTGCCTGGTAAATGTTCCAATTTATAACTCAGACCAATGTACAGACAGGAGCAATAGCCTTTAATAGGCAGGCAATAGCTAGCCAATCTCTCTAACCAGAAATGGTATCTCCAAATGTTCTTAATGCACTTTATTTATTTAAAAGTTATTCCTCCAGCATTCAAACCCATCTTTTACTTAGCTCTTGGTTGTACTCAGCACTTTAGTCTCTTTGTTTAAACATCTTGTTTTCTACAGTAATTAGTAATCAAATTACCTGGTTTTGGGGCTGTATCTTTGTTAATGTCAGACAAACCATCTTGCCTTTGCTTGCTGACAAATAATATGCACTTGTTCAGCAAGATGGCTGCCTCAGTCGTATTGATTTTAATTAAAATCTTAATTTTTAAATATCCTTCACTGTTCAGTGAGAAGTGCTGCTTTGTGCTCAGACAGCTGGCCTGAGCTGCACTTTAAAAACAAAGAAAAAAACCCTGGGGAAGAAGGGCTAAAATGAAGGGGTTGTAAATAGGATGTACAGCTGGTGTATTCGACTCACATCTGTGAGCACTATAAGCTCTTGAAAAGAGACTAACTCATTTTAAATATAGCGTTGGACTAGAGCTCTGCATTAGCATGCTGGGAGGGCTGTAGCGAGTGGGTCTTAAGCGTTCTGATCAGCCTTTTCCGCTTACGTGAGGAGTATGCTGGAGTGGGGTGCAGGTGGCGGCGTCTTTTGCTGTTTGATACAAACATAAGGTGCTAAACAGATAGTGCCTGCCCTGGGAGCATAAAGCTAAATATCATCATGGGGGACTGGTAAAAAGCAAGCAACGGGAAGGGACATAGCTACAGTCTCACTATAGTATTGCCATGTCTATACAGCAGCAGGCAAAACATTTCCCAGAATAGGTAGACTACCATGCTGTGAGCCTGTAGCAGGGGTGTTAGGTGGGATTGTATGCAAGCAGCTAGCCCAAGCTGCCCTGCTTTGTTTTGTGTCAGGGTGCTATTCTTAGCCTGCTAGGTGGAGCAGCACTAGTGCCTTTGTCTATAGTGGGAAGCACTCTCATCCTAACTCATAGCAGTGCCATCAGTTCCCATGACCCCTTGCTGCCTATTTCCAAAAACCCTCTTCCTTCACAGGAATTGAAGTTACAAAACATTATCTAACTACCTGATTCCTTTAAAAGTAGAAAAGTGGGAATCTGGTTTTAGTGCATGGGGATGATGGAAAACAGCTACCTCCTGTCCGTCCAGTGCAGTACTGTACAAACCAAGCTGCCTGCCAGTTGTACACAGCTTACACTTGAACTGTCTTTCTACTTGTTACATTTCCACTAATAATGTGCAGTTGATGTTTTGCTGATGGATGACTGAGGTGGAATGAAGCTTGCTACAGCAGTAGCATGAACTGGAGAAAAGCTTTATGGATACTGAAAATAGATTGGTTTCAGAGTAGCAGCTGTGTTAATCTGTATCCGCAAAAAGAAAAGGACTTGTGGCACCTTTGAGACTCTCTAAGGTGCCACAAGTCCTCTTCTTTTTTTGAAAATAGATTAACCACAATGGGTGCTGTTTACACTTGCTGGGTAAGGAGGATTTGCCAATATTTTGTTAGAGTAAAAATGGCTGCTGTAGACTCCTAGCAGCCCTAGATTACTTTTATAGAGGCACCCTAGGGGGTAGGATTCAGGCCTTGCTGGGCTAATCTCATAACCTAAAAAAACCTCCAAACCCACCTTTGCTTCTAGTGTAAGTTCTGCCTGTAGTGCTGATAGCCTCGTGCTATGCTGAACTAGTGATGGTGGTTCCAGCAGCCTTGAAGCTAGAGTTACCTAGCAATGAATACATATTAGATGGGGAGGTGTAGTAGCAAGTCTGGCAAAAAGCAAATTATTAGGCAACGGGATAACTGAAAGTACAGGGGTTAAGTAGTTTCCCATGACAATGGCTTTTGGGAAAGCACAAGTGTTAAATTAATTCCTTTTACCCCATGTCCTAGTGGGCTGTTGAATAGAGCAGAAAATCTTATCCTCTGAACATTGAGGGGCTTTAATCTATTTGCATAATGGTGACAGCCATTTCCATCCTTTCTGAAAGCAACCCCAGTGTTAGAGGACTAGTCACATAGCTGTACAGTCTCCTCCCCCTGCGTATAACTTGGCAGTGAGGGACATGCATTCAAAGCTTAATACGAAAGCCTGCCTTCTGCAGTATTTGGAGAAAAGCAACATGTACCACACATGCGGAAACAAGGGCTAGAATGCTGGAAACCTTAGAACTCAGTGCATTTTAAGTAGCAGTAAAAAACCAAAAATAAATTGCTCTTGACTTTCTTTGGAGCAGGTTAATCTACCACAACCCATTTGTTACCTGTTTTTGTAAGGAGCTAATGTACTCATCCTACATTTGAAAATAAATAGTATAAGTTTACTGGTGAGCAGAACACATTTTAAATGTGCAGATATTTAGTGACAACTGTTAATGATATTTGTATCACAGACAGCTAGCGCAATCTCCAATGTCTGTCTAGGCTCTTGTAAGGTAGCCCTCACCATGGTATCTGAGCACCTTACAAATAGATTAAAGTGCCCTCAGGAACAGTCTCATTCTGTAGAAGTGATGTTTTCTATGACAAGATTGTTTCTCTTGAGCCCTCTGTCAGCAGGCAGAGATTGCTATTTACTACTAGCTCATAGCATTCCCCATGACAGGTATGATCTGAGCTGCTCTGCTTAATGAGTGGTGACAGGTAGCTATGGGGACTATGACTGCAGAAGCAAATCACTGCATGCCTTCCCCTCATTTGCATACTGTAATCATCATGCTTTAGATGCCTTGATAATGAATGCATTTCAAAGGGGCTTTGGTCCATGCATATCCACTGCACACCTCACTTCATTAAACAAGCTCCTAACTGCAGACATATAATAGTTCACTGCTAACAGATACAGACAGATTAAATTAGATAGGGTTCATTGACGGAAACTGTATAAAACACCAAGCCAAAAGATTCAAATTCTTTATCTGCATGTTTTTATACAGGTTTCTCGCTGGAGGGAGAGGAATTTAAAGTACATCACTATACAGCTGAACTCCTAGGGCTTTGTCGGCAACAGGAATGGGCTGTTGTGCGTTGGTTTCTATGCATCCCATCAGTCTCCTGCAGAATAAGGCAACGTGTGTGGAGTGGGCAGCTGTAGCTAATGGCGCAGGCAAACCTCATTGCCAGTCGTAGTGCTCATTCTAAGTGCTCCTAGCTGTGCTGAGTGGATGCCCCAGGCAGTTGGGGGGTGGGGGTGGGGGGGTGTTTCTTATATGAAAATAAAGTTCTCACAGAATCATTACAAATAGTTTTAAAAAATCCTGAATGGCGGTTGCTGCATTAGCTGTATTGACAACTAGCACAGCAGCAAGCCTGCCTGAGGGGCAGTTCCTATTTGTAAACGGAAAGCTCTCCGAAGGGCTGGGTGATCCCACTTAACATTGAAGGGCTGGGTATTGCACCGTAACTTAAGATCAGGAGGCCCTCAGAAGTGAAGGCCTGAATCCAACGCAATGCTTTGGGCTAAGAGTCCCTCATGAAGGAATCATGCCTTTGTTCCGTTTCCTGTCAGCCATGACTCGGCGGTTATGATTAGCTCTTGCCCCTTTGTTGGCTTCCTTCTTCTTTCGCTCCTGGACTGTATCCCGGCTCTGTCCATGCCCCTTGACATTCCCTACAACAGCCGGGGTGTTGTCATACTTGTACCTGAAGTATAGATAAAAATGGGAATCACACAAGTTCTGCACAAGGCACACAGGATCATAAATCTAATTTCTCCTTCTAAGACAAAGGATCCTGTGGGGAGAGCACACCTGAGGGGAGTCCATCCACCCAGCCATCTCCCCTGATGAGTGAGCTATGCAGCGCTTCTATAGTATCTGAACATTATCCACCAGCCATGTAATGACAGCTCACTCTTCCTGCTTTTAGCATGCCAGCAGCCAGCCAGATATTGCACTGAAGCCTTGTACTGTCCAGACATCCCCTGTGGTAGTTACTGAGGATCTAGAAAGCTCCTGTACCCCAAAATCTTACTAATCTTATGCAGGCTCCTGCTCTCCCTTCCCCCATATAACTGCAGCAGCAGCATTGCTGTGCCAGCGAGGGGACTTGCCAGGCATCCCTGCCACTTGGTGTAGCTGCACTCTAGGCAGCGAAGCGGAAGCTGAGTAAGGTGTTGGAAATGTGTCACTCCCAACAATTTTTTCAAAAGATGGACGGTCTGAGGCCACGTGTACCCTGAACCCCTCACCACAGCATGGCTGCGTCACTGCAGCACGGCCATTGTACGGCACGTCGTGGAGCCGCTCTCCTGACGACAGGCGGCAGCTTCAGCGGTGGGAGAGCGTCTCCCACCCACAGAGCGCTGCCCACAACGGCGCTTTTGCCATTAAACCTTTTGTTATTCGGGGTTGGTTTGTTTTTTTCACACTCGTGAGTGACAAAAGTTTTAATGATGAAAGTGCAGTGTAGACATAGCCTAAGACCTGGAGCTTCTCGTCAACTCAAGATGCAACATACCATTGTGGCTGGAGCCCTGGGCAGACAGGAATATTCTGACCAGGTGCAACAGTCGGAGTGTTTTCCCACTGGCTTCAATGGAGCCACGATTCACCCATGGAGAGGGATTCCGTCTTACCCTTTCCTTGCAAGGTAAGTCATCCGTCTGGCTTCAGCTCTCTCCCTCAGCACTGCTGGGTCCTGCACAAAATGGTCCTGCTGTGGGATGGAAATAAAGTCTTTAATCTCATTATCGTCTTACCAGCATTCAGCATGACTTGGGGAGCTACACAAGCCTGACTTCTTGTGGCTATCTGGTGTGGGGAGAGTCCCCCGCATCCCTCAGCTGAAGTTATTAATTACAGCCAAGTAGTCCCCCAGGATCAGTGACGGAGCGACTGAAGTGAGATGCCAAATTAATCAAAGTGAAAAGCATCCAAAAATTTGAATTGCAAGTGTTTTCACTGAGATTTTAGGGTCTCTCCCCTGCCATCACAGCCAAATCATAGAATATCAGGGTTGGAAGGGACCTCAGGAGATCATCTAGTCCAACCCCCAGCTCAAAGCAGGACCAATCTCCAATTTTTGCCCCAGATCCCTAAATGGCCCCCTCAAGGATTGAACTCACAATCCTGGGTTTAGCAGGCCAATGCTCAAACCACTGAGCTATCCCTCCCCCCCATTTCCATTAAATCCATGACAACCATAAAAATAATAGAGCCTTAATGATCCTCCCCTCTGCCCCCACACACATTGTCCTCTCTTCCAGAGATACATCCACACCTCTCCAAGGAGTAAGAGTCATATGACATGCCTAGGTGGGGAGGCTGTGGGCAATTGTACTCGGGGGACACTTCACAGTCCAGAAAAGCAGAGCTGCCTCAATGCTATGCGAACAGATTCATGTTCTGGAAAAGGAAACCCTTTCCACACTGTTACTGGTCAGGGCTTCAACAGGTGAAATAGACAGGGCACACAACAGAACTTAGTGCCAATTCCCATCAGCCTACAAATTAAGCTAGTAACCTTTGTTGTTTCCTTTTCAGTCTCCTCTACTTCCTCCTCCTCCTCCTCCTCCTCCTCTTGTCCTTTGGGTCTCAGGACTTGAGGGATGGTAAATGGCCTGGGAATTTGAGAGAGAAAGGTGAAAGATTCAGTACTATTTCATCTGGGCAATTCTGATACTAGAATATTTTAAAGACACTTCTGAATTACAGAAGGGCAGTTCTTTCAAGAAGTGAAATCCACAGCTTTTATGGACCTGCCTAATTTGTAAAGCAAGTGTTAGCAAGAATTAGCAAATCTAGAAAGAAAGAGAGCAGCCAATGACAAATTTGCCATGTTCCAATGACTTCCGGGAGATCTGCAATTGGTGAATATAGACTACTAGGGAAAAGTATCTTAGTGGAACGTGTATCCTTGATTTCATATTTAATACTTCATCACCTGTAGGATCATATACACTGATGCAGCCCGACTGTCATTCCACAGAGGTTAATGGAGATCTCCCCCAGGCACCACCTCTGATGTACAAAAAATCCAGACATCCAGGATGATCCTGAGGCCATAAAACTGGCCAGCTGGCTGTGTGTACTGAGCTCCCTTACAGATTTCTTGGGACAGCTGTCTCAGAAAAGGGATGATCCTGGGAAAACCTGGACAGGCAGCAACACTACCCCAGGTTGAATTTGGGGCTGTGTATTTTGTTTAGTTCTCCCTTTTTATACATGCACATCTTCAGTTCCCTGTGGAATGTTCTTTTCACATCTGTCGAATCTAAATTAAAAAGGGAGCTTAAAACACTTACTATCCAGTGCCACCTCGAGGCAGGGACAGGATGGCATTTCATGCACTGGGTAAATTGCAAGGGAGAGGAGAAAGGCAGAAAAGACTTGAGACATGCAAGGGACAACAGAGCTGCACAAAAGAAAACATGCCTTCCTCTAGGAGACCACCCAGAAAGCATTGTGCAAAGAGCAATGGCATTTGATGGTTAATTCTCTCTAGACCTCAGCACACAGACAGCGATGGGGCTGGGGGTTGTATGTAGGCATATCAGCTCACCTTATGTGCCACCATATTAAAATCAGGTATCTGCTCAAAACAGTCCCCACTTTAAAACTGCTGCGATTGGTCAGAGGTTATCCCACTGATCCTCAGTTGCACCCATTATGCCGGCACTGCGCCCACTGGGGAGTCCTTCACACAGGAGAAAACCCACTGGCTTTGTGGCCCCTTGGCACATCTCAAGCGGTGCAAAGGGCCTGGAGCGAAGAAGAGAAAAACTATCCCCTTATTTCTGCCTCCAATGTAGTTCTTCTAAAGGATTCCATTTGATTTTAAATCTGTGGTCATGTCACTGAGGAAATTAAAACTTACAACCAAAAGCACAAGAGCCTTGGTTTTACGTCAGACGCCCAGGCCTGATCTTCAGAATACTGAGCACCCTCAGACCGCCCAGAAAAGCCAGTGGGAAGGGTGGGTGCTCACAACTTCTGAAGACCAAGCCCCAAGGTGTTACAGGTGAACTGTAAGAAAGTTTTTATTCAAGTCTCTAGAACTCTTTAGGAAGATTCCAAAAGAAGAAAGAAGTAGAGAAGAGCAATATTTTGTTTTTAAATGGGGTTAGCTCTGTCTGTTAACATCTTACAATTCCTGCTTCCTGAAAATGCTGTTTTGGATGGAAAATTACTCTGTAAATCACAGAGAAATGTTAAGCTTACAGCTTCCAAAAGATGGAGATACAGGGAGAAAGAGTGGGTGTGCATACTTGGTTGTCTGTCAAAATCTCATTCCTTTTCCCAACGCATCTCTAGCCACGCTCTTAGAATTAATGTTTTGCAGTTCCAAACCTCAGCTAAACCTCGCAACCCTGGGATCCAGCTCAGTATTAGCTCTATTTTGCAGATGGAGAGACTGAGGCACAGAGAGGTCATGGTCACATGCCGAGTCAGTGGAATGGAGCCCAGAACTCTCAGTTGCATGCTCTAATCACTAAATCACAGAAGAGCCTGTGCCCAAGGAATTGCCAAACAAGCAAGAACAGGGGCCAGCTTTTTCTTACTGTTTGCCCAACGGCTTTTCTGCCTTGAGGTGGGGGGAGAAACAGCTATAAGAGGCCAATTCACACCCTCTGTCCCCAATGACCAGCGTTCCCCTCTGCGTGCAGAGTGAAGGACTTTCTCAGTGCAAGCTTAACCTCTCTGAGCAAAGCCTCCCGCTCGGGTTTTAAAACTGAGCTCCGGCAGCATTTGGTTCCACACATGGAGAGAGGGAAGGGGTACAGGAGGAAGGGGGAGCATGACAACTCCCTGTTCCCATGGCTGGGAGAAGCTTCCTGGCCAGCAGGGGAAAGGGGAGACCCGGAAACCCCTCCTCCAGGCTGGGAGCAGAAAGAGCAGAGAGGTGTCTCCGAGCCCCTCTGTCTGGGGTGAGAGCAGAAGCATGGGCAGTGGAGACCTGTGTGCAGGACACGCATTTTCACCCAGGCTCTGTGCCAGTGTGCAAACACGTGGCTTACAGGACATACCAACCATCCTCTTCTTGCTGGCCAAAGATGCTGTACCCACCTCCTACTGATCAGCTCATCATCTGAGTCAGCATCGTTCGCCCCCACCTGGTTGCCGTCATAGGTGTCGTCGTATTCATCCTCATAGTCAACCCTATAGAACTGGGCTTCCCCCTCCTGCTCAGGGACCTCCTCTACGATCACACTGTACTGGCTGTAGCGTTCCTTCTGCTCAGCTATCAGGCGCTTGTCATTCAGTAAACTTTTTGTCGTATCTTTGTCCTTCCTGCACGGCGGTGGGGGGGGGGCAGAAAGAAATAAAGGCAGTTTAAAAAAATCTAGCTGTAAAGAGCAACTCTAAATAAATGGAAATTTAAGCACCATCTGGTGATTACATTTTATTCATCCTGCTCTAGCACCTTTCATCTCAAAGAAGCTCACAAACATAAGCCTCACTGCTTCCCCTCCTGAGGTAAGTACTGGAGATGCAAAAGGATCATTTGACCCACTAACGAAAACAGCCACTTCTGGTTTGAACACAACAGCTGTTCAACAGCACCCAGCAAGATTGTGCAACAGGTCAGAACAGGGATGGAGACTGCCACCTCTGGGGGAGACTGCAGAGGAGATTTTAAGAATAGCCAAATGCAATTACTCTAGCTGGACCAGGACCAAACTCTCCCCAAAAGTACCATGGGCCGTGCATAACTGCAGGTGGTCAGGGCCTGGAACCTGTCGCAGCTGAGTGGCAGCATGTCCAGGTGCACAGTGGCCTTTAACGCTAGGCTGCAGCAGCGCTGGTTCATGGTGGTGAGGTATCTGCATTGCAGTAGCGCCCAAAGGCACAAATCAGGGCTCAGCACTGCTTCTGTACTAGGTGCTGTACACTCCCTCAAGTCAAAGAGCCTCCAACCTAAGCGTAGGATGAGAGAAAGCCGCTGCATACAAACAAACAGATGAGGAGCGCACAAGGTTACACAGAGAGATTATGAGTATTGCACTAAACAGGGGCTAGAAAAGCAGGATTCAGAGGGGAAAGGACAGCAGAAAAAAACACCAAGCAGGGAGATCTGCCTCAGCCAGGAAATCAGAGCCCCACAATAACACCACTTTGCATTCCTATTGCACTTCATCTAAATATCTCAAATCACTTATATACCCATCAATTAAGCCTCATCCAACCCCTGTGAGGCAAGTAATATTAGAGTTAGACCTATATTCTAGACAGGGAAATCAAGACACAGAGGTACAGCCAATATTCAAATACAGCCATTGATTTAGCATGCCTCAGTTGCACGGGGACCTGATACCTCACGCTGGATTTTCGGACATGCTGAGCACCCACTGATCCTGTACAGTGATCAAGACCTTGTGATGCTGAGGTTGTAAACCACGTATGAGAACTTACTGCAGACTTATGGGGAAATCCCTTTCTCAGTCTACTCGGGACAACCTGCAGCTCCCAAAGCCTGAGGAGGAATTCACATCTGAATCCAGAATTCATTCAGGATCTGCATAGTCTCTTCATATTACTAGTGGAGGAACCTGTCTGATGAACAGGTATATCAAGAATTGCCAGGTTCCTGTGACATTCTTGCAAACGTAGGGAAAGCCATCCTCTGCCCTGACCATCAATTCCATTCCTATTCGGAATCCCCAAATTAGATAATGTTTGCTTCCCCTTACTCCATGAGTCACTGCTTCTACCGCTGTTTCTGTTGCTGTGCTTAAATTTAGTTACAATCAATTCGAAATGACCCTGCAAATGTTCTGCTTTACTCACGTGTACCGTGCAGGATGGGCTAGGAGCTCCTGCTGGTTTTCAGCAATGAGGCTGACTAGGCATTCGGGAATTGTTTCCTGTTGAGACGACCTGATGGCTTTGCAACAAAGCTGCACTGAAGTGCACAAGGCTGACAGAGCTGTGTCCGCCTCTCTATACTGCCATGACACCGTACACCAGCGGAAGGGGGTTTTCCCCCGGTGTAGCAACGCCACCTCCCCGAACCAAGTCCGCTCCATCAACATACCCATTCTTCAATCGACAGAGCTGCATTCTACCATAGGGCTTAGACTGGCATAGCTGTATCGGTCCGGGGGTGGTTTTTCACACCTCTGACTAAGATAGCTATGTTGACCTAACCTTTAAGTGTGGACCATGCCTAACATAGGTCAACTTACAACCACTACAGTAATTACTGTGGTGGTTCATGTCCACACTGCCCTCCTTCTGTCCGTACACATCCTCACCAGGAGTGCTTCCAGCAACTTAAGAAGGGCTGAGAGCCTGGGCTCTCAATTCCACAAGCAGCTCCCCGCTGGGACCCCAGCTGCCCCCCTGTGCTCACAGCTCTCCGCTGGATGCCTAGCTGTCCTGCCTTGGACTCTCAGCTCTCTGCTCCCCACTGGGACCCCAGCTGCCCCCCAGGCTCTCAGTTCCCCACCAGGAGTAAGACAGCCACCCAGGCTCCCGCCGTTGAGCTCTGTGCCTGGAGCCTAGACAGCTGCCAGGTTCCCAGCAGGGAGCCTCAGTGTAGCTGGGCTCCCAGCAAAGAGCTGGGAGGGCACAGCCCGTCTGGGAGCGGGGAGCCAGGAGCCCAGGGGGCAACCAGGCTTTAGCTGGAAGTCCCCATCCACCCTGGGGTAACAGCCTGAGCAACTAGCAGCTTTCTCATCAACGTCACGGCTTGGCCCTGCTACAGTCGGGGCCGGGTTGGGGCTGCACCATACAGCTCCCAGAAGTCGCAGCATGGCCCCACGCCAGCTCCTACACGCTCCAATGGGAGCTGCAGGGGCGGTGCCTGCAGACGGGGCAGCACACAGAGTCGCCTGGCCGTGCCTCCGCATAGGAGTTGGAGAAGGGACATGCCACTGCTTCCGGGAGCTGCTTGAGGTAAACGCCACTCAGAGCCTGAGCCTCTCCCCACGCTCCAAACCCCTGCCCCAGCCCTGATCCCCCTCCCACTCTCCAAACCCCTCGATCCCAGCCTGGAGCACCTTCCTGCACCCCAAACTCCTCATTCCCAGCCCCACTCCAGAGCCTGTACCCGCCCCCCAACCCCAATGTTGTGAGCATTCTTGGCCCACCACACAGTTTCTATTCCCCAATGTGACCCTCAGGCCAAAAGTTTGCCCACCCCTGAACTAGTACAATGGGGCCCAGCCAGGTTGTGGTCTTCAGGTGCAATATCATGTTAAACAACAACAACAGAACTCTAATAAGATAAAGAGCAAGCACCACAATTACATCTCTCTGGTTTTAAGGAGGGAGGCAAAAAGAGTAGAGATCTTTGAGACCCAAATCAGGCCTCAGATGAGGCTGGAGGAAACCCTATTGCTCAGAAGCCTGGGCAAGTATCAAGTTTTCTGCCTGCAAGTCAAGGAGAACAGGGGAGGCAGAGGCTGTCTTCACCACGAAACAGGCATGGTTTTGGCATCAAAACAGCTATCTCGATATAAATTCCTAGTGAAGACAAGACATTGTATTTCTTACCTTGACGTACCAAGCCCAGGTCAACCCTAGGTGGAGGGTATATGGGTGAGCCCAACTAGCTACCAAAAGCTACCTTCACTTGGATTTTACATCAAAAGGGCTACAACGAAGGCTACGTTTTAGTCATGGGTATTTTTAGTAAAAGTCACCGACACATCACGGGCAGTAAACAAAAATTCACAGCCCATGACCTGTCCATGTCTTTTACTAAAAACGGCAGTGAAAAAAACTTGGGGGGGGGGGTGTTTGCCCACGGGCCCCTTGGGAGGGCGGTCCAGCTGTTTGGGGGTGAGACGTAGGTGGCGGTGCGTGGCCCAGGACCCGCGCTGGTGCTGGGGGGGCGGGGGGTGGAAGTTGGCGGGGGTGCGAGGCTCCCTACCTGGCTCTGCGCCTCCTCTCCCCCCCACCCCAATAGCAGTAGAGTTTGGGTTTGGGTTTGGGAGGGGGCAGGGGAACCACGGCAAATGGGAGCTGCGAAGCTCTGGGCGGAGGCAGCACACAGAGCTACCCGGCCACGCCTCTGCCGAGCAGCTGAGCGAGGGGGATGTCGCCGCTTCCAGGGAGCCACCGAGCGCCTGCCTCACCCTGCCCCAACCCCCTCCCCCCCCACACCCAAACTCAGCTGTGGGGAAGAGATGCGGGGCACAGGGGCCCGAGACTGCCCCAGCAGTGGCCAGTGCACCCGGCGCAAGGGCTGCCTAAGCTGCCCCGGAGCCAGGCACACCGGCTGCTGCAGAAGTCATGGAGGTCATGGAAAGTCACGGAATCCATGACCTCCGTGATAAACTCCCAGCCTTAGCTTAACTGATCTAAAAAACACACCTATTTTGTAGTGAAGACACAGCCAGGAGAGCAGAGTGATGGCCACAGCAACATGGGGAACCAAAGGAGCAGCAGGGCACAAGAGATCTGAGCTGTCTCTGCAAGGTGGAGGGTGAAGGGGCCGAGTTGAGCAAAAGACGTGTGCTGACAAACAGGTGGGAAAAGAATGGCTCTAGCTCAGTGGTCTCCAAACTTTTTACACCCAAGATCACTTTTTGAATTTAAGGGCAACCCAGGATCTACCCCGCCCCTTCCCCGAGGCCATGCCCCGCTCACTCCATCCCTGCCTCTCTCCGTCACTCGCTCCCCCCCACACTCACTCACTTTCACCAGGCTGGGATAGGGGTTTGGGAGGGGATGCAGGCTGTGGGCTGGGGCCGAGGCCGAGGCCAAGGCCAAGGGGTTCGCAATGTGAGAGGGGGCTCTGGGCTGAGCCTGGGGCAAGAAGTTGGGGTGCAGGAGGGGGTGAGGGGTGCAAGCTCTGGGAGGGAGTTTGAGTGCAGGAGGGGCTCCGGGCTGGGGCAGAGGGTTGGGGTGTAGGAGGGAGTACAGGGTGCTGGCTCTGGGAGGGGTGTCAGGGCTGGGGCTTGGCATGCAGGAGGGGGTTCATGGTGCAGGAGGGTGTATGGGGTGCTGGCTCTGGGAGCGGGCTCAGGGCTGGGGTGCAGCCTCCCACCGGGCAGCACTTAACTCCGGCGACTCCTGGTCAGTGGTGCAGCATGGCTACAGCTGAGGCAGGGTCCCTGCCTACCCTGGCCCCACACTGCTCCTGGAAGGGACCAACACATCCCTGGGCCCCTGGTGGGGCGGGGGGGCACATCGCTCCGCCCACTTCCCCCTCTACAAGCACCGCCCCCGCAGCTCCCATTGGCCACAGCTCCCTTTTCCCAGCCAATGGGAGCTGGGTGGGCGGTGCTTGCAGGCAGGAGCAGCGCGCAGAGGGAGACCCCTGCCTCGCCGCCCCTGGGGCC